AGTACAATTATTCATCATCATAGATCATCATCATCATCATCATAGATCATCATCATCATCAAGGAAAATAAAAACATAATTATTACAATCACGAGTTTTTATTATAATTATTTTAACAAACTTTTTCATCTACAAGAATCTGTGGAAGGTGCATGGGTGGTGGTGGTGGTGGTAGTAGTAGTAGTAGTAGTAGTAGTAGTAGTAGTAGTAGTAGTAGTAGTAGTAGTAGTAGTAGTAGTAGTAGTAGTAGTAGTAGTAGTAGTAGTAGTAGTAGTAGTAGTAGTAGGTCGGGGAAGTGGGTGTAAGGGGGTAGCAGATATCTCCAATAACTGGTTGTGGATGTGGATATTTGGATAGATAGGTGGATATTGAATGGATAGATAGGGTGGAGGAGGAGATGTGGATGAATAGATGGGAGAGAGATGTGGCTGGGTGGATGGATGTGGATATTAAAGGTGGATAAAGGATGAAGCGTCGGATATTTTTGTGTTTACATTCTCAGTCAGCTGTTGGTTCATTCAGTGACGCACACACACACACACACAGGACGCTAAAACTCTCGTCAAACACATTAAAACAAAAACACATTCACACAAAGACAATTTTAAACCTAACCTAACCTAACCATATCATCTTCACTACTGTGGTCACGACTCTATATAAGAGACTGAGGAGAGATATGAGGTGAGAAAGACGGTTGGAAGGCACTTAGTGGTGTCACAAGGCACTTAGGGGTGTCTCGAGGCACTTAGGGGTGTCTCAAGGTAACTTAGGGGTGACTAGAGGCACTTAGGGGCATCTCCGAGGCATAGGGGCGTCTCGAAGGCACTTGGGGTGTCTCAAGGCACTTAAAGGGGTGTCTCAAGGTAGCAAGGGGGTGTCTCCGAGGCACTTAGGGGTGTCTCAAGGTAACTTAGGGAGTCTCGAGGCACTTAGGGGTGTCTCAAGGTAACAAAGGGGTGTCTCAAGGCAGGGGCGTCTCAGGAGGAGCACTTGAAAGGGTCATCTCAAGGCACTTAGGGGTGTCTCAAGGTAACTTAGGGGGTGTCTCAAGGGCATGAGGGGTATCCTCAAAAGTAACTTAGGGAATTAATCTCGAGGCATAGATTGTTGAGGAAGATTTTTAAGACATTTAGGAAATTCTTGAAATTGTTAAATCTCCAAAGACACACACACACACACACACACACACACTACCTCATCGACACATAGTGATAAGCAAACATAAACACTCCTACGTCATCACGTCCGTCATCACACACCCACATCATCACACGCCCCACGTCATCACACCCACGTCATCACACCCACGTCATCACACGCCCACGTCATCACGTCCCACAACGCAGGCGTAGTAGTAGTAAAAGTAGAAATAGGAGTTGTAGTAGTCGTAGTAGTAATCATAGTATTAATAGTATCAACCCCCCAACACAGCGTCTTGCTCTAAAAGGATAATGAAAAAAAGTTATTACAAAATGAATACAAAAAAAAAATACATCACGTGAGAAAGAAACTTACAGAATCTCACAAAATATCGTCCCCCCAAAAAGTTATGAAACTTTGGTGAAACAACTTTTATTATACAGTGTAAACAAAGATAACAGTAATAGTGTAAGAATGAAAGTTGTTGGAGTTTGTTATTGTGGGAGAAGGAAGGAAGGAAGGAAGGAAAGAAGGAAGGAGAGATGGAAGGAAGGAAGGAAGGAAGGAAGGAAGGAAGGAAGGAAGGAATGAAGGAAGGAAGGAAGGAAGGAAGGAAGGAAGGAAAGAAGGAAGGAAGGAAGGAGAGATGGAAGGAATGTTGACCACCTTGGCTACCCCCAAGGAGGAGATGCACCACCCAGAAAAACAAAAACAAAACAATAATAAAGAGAGAAAGAGAGAGAGAGAGAGAGAAAGAGAGAGAGAGATATCTAATAAAACATAAGTGTGGGATAATTGATGACTAACACATACAGTAATAATTATTAAAGGCTCATCTAACACCTCTAACGTGTAATTTGATCTACAAGAATATATTAATATATTTCTCTGTACAAAAAGGAAAAAAAAAAAAAGTTCCATCACTTAACATCATATACAAAATTGATAAGATTCAGTGGAAAGAAATAAAATCAATACTTAAGATAAAAAAAATAATAATAATAATAATACACACAAGAACATCGGCCATAGTAAACAAAAGATCCGTGACGTCACATGATCGTTGACGTCACGGAAGCGATGACGTCACGAAGATCACAGACGCCGCTATAACAATGACGTCATAAACTCAGGATGTCAACAGAGGATTTTACGAGATGAAAAGGAGGGGGTAGGGGGGGGGGAGGGTTTAGGGGAGGGGGAGGGAAGACGGTCAAGAAATTAACTCTTATAATTTGTTTTGGATTCTTAAACTACTTGGCATGGTTTATTTGGTTTAAATTTCTCCATTCTATTGTTGTGTGTGTGTGTGTGTGTATGTGTGTGTGCGTGTGCGTGGAGGGAGGGACGGAGGGAAGGGGAATTAAGTGAGTTTTAATGAAGGTAATAGAGAATAAACTTAACTACCTGAGTCTAATTGGCAACTCAGTCTCAGGTATCCAGAACAACCAATCAAGTTCCTTCATTAAATGTGAATCATTTCCAACAAAGTAAATATATTGTATTAAATATTGTTCTTGTTCTTTTTGTTGTTGTTGTTCACTCTTTCGTGATTCTGTGCCACCATTGGTACTTTAATTAATCACAAACACTAATATTAGTTTGGGTGAAATCAATTAAAACGATTAATTAAAGAGTAGAGAATTACATCAAATGTTGTATTATAACAGCAATTGATTTTAAGGAGGAGAATTGAAGGAGGAGGGGGTGAAGGAGGAGAGGGGGGAAGAAGGAGGAGAGGGAAGAAGGAGGTGAGGGGGTGAAGGAGGTGGGGGAGGGTGAAGAAGGAGAGAGGAATTGAAGGAGGAGAGGGGGTGAAGGAGGAGGGGGTGAAGGGAGGAGGAGAATTGAAGGAGGAGAGGTGAAGGAGGAGAGGAGGAAGGAGGAGGGGGAGGTAAGAAATGCAGGGGTGAGAGGAAGAGGGTGAGGAAGGATGGAGGAGAATTAATGAAGGAGAGGAGGAGGAGAAGGAGAGAGAGGAAGGATGGTATAAGAGATGAAGGAGGTGAGGTGGAGGGATGGAAGGAAGGGAGGGATGGAAGGAGGGAGGGGGAGGGGGAGGGTGGGGGAGGGAGATTAAGGAAGAAGAGAGAAACGGGGGAAGGGAGGGAAAGACGGGGAAGGAGGAGGAGGGATGGAAGGAGGGGAGGGAGAGAGAGGTGGGGGAGGAATCAAGGAAGGAGAGGAGGAACGGAGGGAAGGATGAAATAACGGAAGGAGCCGGAAAGGATGGAGGAAAGGGTAAAGGAAGGGAAAGAGGGACGGACCAAGGAAGGAAGGAAGGAAGGAAGGAAGGAAGGAAGGAAGGAAGGAAGGAAGGAAGGAAGGAAGGAAGGAAGACGTCATTATCAAACCTGAAGGGTAAAAGACGATAAACAAACACATAAAATAACCCGTCATCCAAAATCATCCAGATCTTATTCATCCAACACAATTTATCTAGTAAACACCAAAAATCTACCTCATTATTACAAACGTTTAGACGGACGGGCCTGCAGGTAAGGCACTTTTAAGATATGTTTACAAAAAAAAAATATATAAATCCTCACAACAATTAAAAAAAAAAAGGCACACCGTTTGTACTTTTGATAGTGATCTTTTCTTACGATAAACAAAAGTAATGTTTATCTATTTTTCAACATTCACTAAACAGCTAAAAAGAGTATGTGTGTATATATATGTATAGCTGTTTAATTGTCGATAAGTTTACCCTCAAGTTTTATTTTCTTATACAATAACTTCATAAAATTTCAATACTGACCATAAGTTTTTTTTTTATCTCCCTCGTCAAAGTTTCATGTTTATTTGTATTTCTTTATTTTATTTTTTTTTTTAAGATCTTAGGAACACTTAATTCTTATAAAACAGGACACTTAGAAAATATCATAACTATTTCTTCAGTAACAAACAAAAATATTAACGGGAAGGCTATTTACATCGTGTTTTTTGTTTTGGTATTTACAATGTCTAAATGATTTTATTTTTTGTTCAGGTGGGAATGTTAAATAATCACTAGTTGGGATTTTCTAGCAGATGGTACTAAGCTATTAAGCCCCGCCCCTCTTCTCCGAAAGTGTGAGTTTAGTTGTGACTTCGACGATTAATATTTCTTAATTTTACTTCTTTTTTTTCACTTATATCTTGGAAGTTAATGTTTTTATGTAGCTATATCTTTACATATATTAAATTCGGTATTAAAGTGAGCCAGAATTGGATATCCTTAATAGTTATATATGGAATTATTTGCGATGTATCAATAGTAATCGAACATTATATATGAGCCAATAAGCTGTAAGGGGGGCGGGGCTTGTACCGTCAACTAAAAAAAAATACTTTTTTTTTTAGTTATTTTAGGAGTCATCACTTAGAAGAAGGTCATCACATCACTTGGAGGGGATCATTATTTAAGGGTCATCACTTTGAGAGGGGTCATCACTGGAATCATCACTTGGGGTCATCACCGGGAGGGGGTCATTGGAGGTCATCACATGGAAATCATCACTCTGAGGTCATCACATGGGGATCATCACTTAGAAGTCATCACTTTAGGTTATCCACATCACCACCTCGTCATCACAAACCAGAGACACAGTAGTAACAGCAGGAGGTCCCTTCCACCACTATAATGGCACCACAATTCAGCTCCGCCAGACTAACGTTCACTCCTGCTCACACACTAACAACCTTTCATGGCTCCTTGGGGAGGGGGGGTAATACTATTTTCCTTTCTTCTATAACTTTCTAAATTCCAATTCAGTCTTAAGGGAATTCTGTGTCCGGTTTACTGGTATCGGATAATAATTTTCTTTTTTCTACGGTTACGCTGATATAATACAACACTGATATCTCTTTTTATCTTGGGGGGGGGAGGGGGGAGGGGGGCGTCTCTCGTACTACACTTATCAGTTGTTGTGTAGAACGAGTCTTTAAGGGACACATTTTGTTTACAAGTCAGTCCCGGTAAACAATAATAACCACAACTAAAACACCTAAACATGACTTCATTCAGAAACATCAAAAATCACTTCAAATGGGAGACTCTTCTACTTGGGAAAAGCTTGGAAGACCTTTAACTGCCTGACGATGGTGACAGGGACCTTAAGAATGCTCGTAATACAACTCCCTGACATCGGCGAGGGCTGACAGAAGGCTGGAGGTGTTGGTGTCGGATTTGCGGTGTTCTGGAGACGGGTGAGCTGTGTCCGTAGATTTGCTCTCACCGTCGCTGCTACCTCCGTCAGCACCTCCTCCTGCCCCGGATGTGCAAATAGTGACTCCATCGTCGGGCTCTTCCTTGATCAGCGTCACGAACTGGGACTCCTGATACTGCTCAGTACCTCCGCCAACCTGCAGGTACCTGTAGGAGAGCCACAGACAGCAGGTTAGTGGTCAGTATACGAGTTACAACACCGAACACAACTGGATGAACTGAAATGTTAATACACACACACACACACACACACACACACAGACACACACACACAGACACACACATACGAAAGACCGACATACCTTGGATTAGCAGGTGGGGTATAGGTGAAGGAGGCGGTGACGGCGGCCACACGCTCTGGACCCTTCAGATACCGATCGAATTCAGAGCGATCGACGTCATCAAAGATCTCTCCCTCACTACTCACGGCCACACTGCCACTCACACCACCTTCGCTGCCGCCCCCGTCACCACTCACCTCACTCCTTGGACCTGTAGAGAAGGTAGACAGCCTGTGGTAGTGTGACGGTCTGGCTGTGGAAGTAGTACATAACATATTCAAAATTCTTCTCATATTATTATCATCGTTTATATTTTGTCTATTTATTTACGTTACTTTACACAGTTACTTTAAGTTCTATCGGAGGAAAATGATGTCACACTTTTCTCTATAATAAGACCAAGTTTTATAGTTTGAAGTAAAGTTACACAGGTTATCATACCTGACAACAGTGAGCTATAGGGTAGAAGGAAAGCTTGTCAATGTGCAATACTTACTACTGAAGGCGGGGTGGGTGAAATGGGGGTGACTGTGGGTGTAGCCCTGAGGGTCGTATTGAGACTGGTAGAACCCCTCCGACCCGCCCATGTAGTCGTGGTATTCATAGGTGTGTGGTGGGTAGGTGGTGCCGGGGTAGGTGAAGCCTGGGTAGCCTTGTTGCCCTTGAGAGAAGTAGTGAAGCAGCTTCGACGCTGAGTTGGTTCCTTCGAGGTGTTGCTGCTGTTGCTGGTGGTGGTGATGGAGGTGGTGAAGGTGTTGTGGCGGGTGTTGCTGCTGCTGTTGTTGTTGTTGTTGTTGCTGCTGCTGCTGCTGTTCTGCCTGATGGTGGTGCTGGTGGTGGTGGTGGAGGTTGGTGGGGGTGTGGAGGTGGTCGTGGTCGTGGGGGGAGGATTCAGGTGGGGTAGGGAGGGCGGCGAGTGTACAAGCGGGAAGAGGGGGACCCTGAGGTGGTGGGGGAGGCCAGGAGGGCTCGGGGGAGCAGGTTGGGGAGGCGTCTGGGGTGTGTAACGCCAACATGGGAGCTGCAAAAGACAACGGCGGTACTGACGACGACCCACTCCCGCTATTACTATTATTGTTATTATTGTTGTTTAAGGGCGCCGTTAGCGTCGCCTGCAAGAAACCTCCGGGGATCATGGGACTCTCTTTCTTGATCTGGGAGGTGGTGGTGGTGGTGGTTGTGGTAGAATTAGAACTTGAGGGCGTCGAGGAGAGGGACACTGCAGAGCCTGGAGGTGAAGGTCCTCCTCCAGGTTTCTTGGGAGGCTGTGTTTTGCGGCGTCGCGGGCGGTACTTGTAGTCCGGGTGCTCGGCCATGTGCTTCAGCCTCAGACGCTCCGCTTCCTCCACGTAGGGGCGTCGCTCTGTGGGTGTGAGGGCACGCCACTTCTTGCCTGAGGGATAAAAGATACCTGAGTTAGCCCTGGCCGCCATTAGCACACTTAGGGAGTAAATTAGGAGACAGGACAGCCTCCCAGCCCGTGTTTGTCTGGTAATTCCGGAAGCTGGTGTGAAGCGCTCATCCCTCCCCGCAGCCTGTGTACACGCGCCTATGTGTACACGCGCCTATGTGTACACGCGCCTATGTGTACACGCGCTTATGTATAAACGCGATTGGGTACACATGGCTACTTGTGTATGCTCCCAAGTGTAACATACCCTCATGTACAAGACATTTTACGCCTGGCTGCTTGTAACTGTGTGTTGAGGAGAGACCACAGCACACACCACAGGGCCAGCCAGGCGCTACCCAGTCCTTCTGCCTCTCACACGTTGAGTCACTTTGTACCCATGCGTCACACTGTACTCATGCGTCACATTGTACCCATGCGTCACATTGTACCCATGCGTCACATTGTACCCATGCGTCACATTGTACCCATGCGTCACATTGTACCCATGCGTCACACTGGACCCATGCGTCACACTGTACCCATGCGTCACACTGTACCCATGCGTCACACTGTATGCGTCACACTGTCGTCACAACCTAAGCATCTTACTACCTGAGGCTTGATCAGGACCACCCAGGGCAGCAGTACACACACACACACACACACACACACACACACACACACACACACACACACACACACCAGTAACCTTAAATCTCTTTGTGTTTATTTTGTGTTTGAATGTTTGTCCACTTAACGCTCTCACTTTAATTCCTGGTCTGGTTAGGTTAGGTTAGGTTAGGTTAGGTCAGGTTAGGTTAGGTTAGGTTAGGTTATGAGTTGATTGATTCCATAAAGACTAAAGACCAATGCTGTATTAATGGTCTTTTTTGTTTGTTTGCGTGTTTGTTTGTTTGCTTGTTTATTTGCTTGTTTGTTTGTTGTTTGTTTATTTGTTTGTTTGTTTGTTATCCATTTTATAGGTAATTCTCAAATCAATTTCGACTTTTAATATATTTACACCACATTTATTTTTAAGTTTTATTTGTGTTAATATTTATCTCACTAAAGTTATATTTCACGATTTTGTTTTTATTTATCTATTTATTAATTATCTTCTATATACAGTATACCTTTGTTTTGTTTTTCCTTTTATTTTGTATTTTTTCTTTTATTTTTATTTTATTTTTCTTCTTTGCTTCTTTTGTATTTTATTTTTATTTTTTTATTTTTTTTATTTTATTTTTATTAGTTTTTTCTTATTATTATTTTTTAGCCCCCCAACCCTCTCCTTCTCACCTCCTACCGTCCCCCCCCTTCCTCCACTCTCTCCTCTGTCTAACCCCCCTACAACACCCTACCACCCCTCCCCCTCCCGCCCACAACTCTTAAAAGGTGCCAAGTCATAAGTGAAGATTTCTGCCTCAGCCAATAAATGCAAGAAACGGCTGAATCACTTTACTCATAACAAACATGGGGAGCCAATTGGCTGTTGCGGCTCTAACTGGATATGACGAGGGGGTGTTGATTGGCTGATAGATTTGGAATTTATGTCTCACCTTGAACTACCTGGTCGATTAGGTTGTGTATTTTCATTGGTGACCGAAAACTACATTATACGTATCGACCAAACTGTTAGTCTACCATACACAGAACCAGTTATTAGTAACCACACCGTATCTACACCTACCACACCCTATTCGACCAGACCCTACCACCACCCTCACCACAACCTACCTACCACACCCTATTCGACCAGACCCTACCACCACCCTCACCACAACCTACCTACCACACCCTATTCGACCAGACCCTACCACCACCCTCACCACAACCTACCTACCACACCCTATTCGACCAGACACTACAAATAACCACACCATATTCGATCA